ACGCCTTTTTTATATGGAAGAAATTTGCAAAGCCAGTTGGAATTGTTGTAGCAAAGTGACTCCAGTAAGTCTATTCTTGTGTCAGAAATTCAATATATTCTGTAATCAACAATTGTGTGTGGATCTTGATCCTTTAAACACTGTTTAAATAAGTTGAAATAGGGAATGCGGGCCAAGTGANTTCTGTAATCAACAATTGTGTGTGGATCTTGATCCTTTAAACACTGTTTAAATAAGTTGAAATAGGGAATGCGGGCCAAGTGAGGTCGAAAAAGGCCATAACCTAAAAGAAGGTAAAATTGTAACTGTAACAAAGAAAACTGTTTCATCCAATCACAAAGCATTCAATTGGTAGAATATATCTACACAACAAATATTACAACCCAATAGCTTGATGCCAGTGAATATGAAGTATATAACGCTTTGAATACTTGCTTAAGGCTTGTCCTTATACAATGGATTTTACTCGAGTGTTAATTATCAACTTACCAATGTGTGGTGCTTTGTCTTTGAACCTGAGAAACTAGCGACACTGAGAAAAGTCTGGCTTCTGTAAAGGTAACAAGAATGAGGTGACAAGTAGTTTTGCTATTGGTTAGCAATCAATGACTTCATATGATCGGATCATGGGATTAAGTTTCAAACTTCCAACGTGGTTAGCTAAAATTCACTAGAGAAGGAACATCGAGATTTGCTGAAAGTGCAAGGGTGGGGGAGTGACGATACAACCTGAAAATAGGTACGTTTAAGGACAAGATTGTAAAGCACTTTCAACAAATGTATGTCAACCAGACAAGACAAATTTGAAACCAAAATAATCAAGCTAAAAAAAAACGTTAGAGCACTCAGTCCGGTGTTACCTGTCGTTCGGAAGTTAGCGGGTGGTTCAGGGATCGAAAAATGAACCTCATTATTGGCCTTTTAAATATCAAAAGCCAATCTTAAGCGGGTTTTGGAGGATCTTGAAGTAATGCAGTAATGCGGCGATTTCATTAAAAGCAAGCCTCCTCTCCATTTGCATTTTGTGACTAATAGAAGTTTCTAACAAAGTATCCCTCAGTCAGTTCCAAGAGTGCCTTAATAAATGCTCCCCCAACCACATCCCATCCCCTTTTAAACACTTGTCGAGCAGTTGTCATTTTTCATCGGAAAGCTGTAAATTCCCTACGGTGGATGACACATGTTGAAATTAAACTTAGAATGAACTTTATTAATTAGAACTTTATGTACTTGCCAATTCATTTTACAAAATCAAAAATGTATATGACAATTTTGGCAGCTCGTTTTGTCTTTATGACGTTGCTATTACCTAATTTATAAAGGTTTGTAGACGGCACTCTTAGTCAGTTTGCCTATCTTATTTAAGGCAAGCGCTATATATTCAGAGAGGTTTAAAAGCTGGTTTGCGGCAAACAACAAATGAAAACGTCAGATCCAAGTTGACAATTTCTCGAAATAGGAAGTCAGCAGATAAAAACTGTATCAAATAATTGTTATTCCTGAACATGACGTGGAAATACTAATTTTTATGTAGATATAACGAGCTATAGGCCATACATAAAGGAAAAACTTTTGTCGTTGTTGTAACCTGTTGCCAGTTTTTTTTTTTTTTCATTATAATATATAGTTTCATTGACAACAACTACAAAAAAAAGGAAAAAGAAAAACAAGAAAAAAAGATGTAACGTATAATAACGGAAAAGAAACGAAGCATTAAAAGGAAAACTTGGTCGCGCGATTCAAACTGATTTTTGCATGCCGTAAACAGGAAAATAAATTTTAAAATTCCTCTTTTATAAATCAATTCCATCTGTTGTGACGATCTTGAAAGCCGGTAGTCATGGGAAACGAGGCGACTGGTTATTGGAATATCGAATTGCACAAAAAGCAGGTTTGACCTAGTGTGGTGAGGGTTCAACTAAGGTATTAAAGTTTCGCTTTTTTCGATTAAAATAAATTTTTTTGGAATAGAATGAACTAGGGTAGGTTAAGAAAAATTATGCAGTTTTCCTAAAAAATAAATCACTGGTTTCTTATTGAGTTATTCTATAAACTAAGTAAGTGTTTAAAAAATTCCTTTGTTTAACAATTCAACAATGAAATCTCTAAAATACCACATAAACGAACTGCAGAAAAGAGGAAATTGTAGAAGTTAATGCTTGATTAAGGAATATTACCACTTGGTATTCGTGCTTCAAGGGCCCACTGGTTATATTGAAAAACAGAAAATATTCAGTTTAAGATGTTTCATTTCTTTTTTATTAATTTTGGCGCAATCTGAAATATATAAGATCAGGGAAAGTAGACCACGCCTCATCCTTGGAGACCCTAAAGAGATAGTTGTCGGGGTAAGAGAAAGTAGAAAGTGGCAGAACAAAAAATTGGCAAAGAAATCGAAACTTATGTCTACCACGTTAGAATGAGGGCATTGGCATTGTTGGGATAAGGATATTTACAGTAATTTGACCTCGAAATATTAAATTTCAACTGCTAGTTTTCATGTAGATCTTGATCCTTTAAACACTTTTTAAATACGTTAAAATAGCGAATGCAGGCCAAAGTGAGGTCGGAAAAAGGTCAAATCCCAAAATAAGGGTAAAACCAGGAGCCTGGTATAACTGTAATTTTGACCAAGAAAACTGGATCCTACTCGAATGTTAATTATCAACTTACCAATGTTTGGTGTTTTGTGACCCTTTGTCTTCGAAACAAACTAGCGGCACTGAGCAAAGTCCTTCTGTAAAGGGGACAAGAATGAGGTGACTAGTTGTTTTGCTATTGGTCAGCAGTCAATGACATCATCATGATTGGTTGGATCAAGTTACAAATACTTCTAACGCGGATGAAACATCGGGATTTGCTGAAAGGGCCAGGGTAGGGGGATGTGATGATCCAACCTGAAACTAGGTACGTTTAAGGACAAGATTGTAAAGGAATTTCAACAAATGTATCCCAATCATGATCAGACAAAACAAATTTGAACCCACAATGATCAGCCTAAAAAAAAAAACGTTAGAACACTCAGTCCGATGTAACCTGTCGTTCGAAAGTTAGCGGGTGGTTCAGGGACAAATGAACTTGATTGGCGTTTTTTCAGTATCAAATTTCGGCAGTCCAAAGCAGGTTTGAAGGACCTTGAAGCAATACGGTAATGGGGTAATTTCATTAAAAGCAAGTGTTTTGTCCATTTGCTTTTTGTGTCTAATGAAAGTTTCCCAAACAATACCCCCACAATGGGGGTACATTGTTCTGCCGGCTTGCGTGACAATCTGTCATGCCTCGCCAAAATTACATTCTAGCAGACGCTCTTAGAGCTTGGTCACGCGTTTTTTCCCCATTGCGTGAACAGCCAAAAGAAGTTCAACGTCTATATAGAAGGGAGGCTAAAATTGTCCCCCTTTAGTCGTGGTCAAAGAAAGTGGAGATTTGCAAGCAAAACTCTTCGCATTTGCACTTTTTGGGCGTGAATATTCTCAGTTTTTGCCTTGGGAATTTATTTATGCAAATCTTGGCAACTTTTTGACTTCAAAACCAGGATTGGTAGCGAAACTTGCTCGTCTGACGTTAACACGCATAAGGGCCATTAAGAATGTGGGTAACAACTGAGCCGAGTTCTCCCTATCGAGAGTGTGTTGAGTACTGTCACTTTATAAGATAAACCTTCCTCTTCTTCCTCGCACAGTCCCACCTTTAATATCCCATAATAGTTTAATCTTCTCGGTGAAATCTTCGACAGAAGTATTGCCAATGCTTTCCCTTGTAAGCGTTCGGCGAGGGCGATAATATTTTTAATAAAACCCCAGGATTTGTGTCATCAAATCTTTTCATGAGCTTCTACTTATTTTTTTTTTACATATACTATCGATTTTAATAATAATAATAATAATAATTATTATTATTATTATTATTATCATTTACTTATATAAATACATATCTTGGCGATTTTTTGAAAACCAATCTGACGAAATTTGCAGTCATTTGAGTGAAATGGTGTCAAAAGGTATGTTTCTTAAGCCTGAGAAGCTCGATGGAAAAGGAAAGGAGAATTAGAAAGAGAAAGAGCGAGGAGAAGGAAAGGAGGAGACGAGAAAAAAGCAATGGTTGCACTTTTAGTTTTTATAATGGCTACTTTGGAGATAGTTTTTGGCCGAAAAAAACTGTTGGACGCAAAAGGTCCATTTGGCGATAACGTTTTCAAAAATCCGGCTAGATATATATATATAGCGCTATCCATAAAAATATAAAATGGCCTAAAGTGCTTCACAGAGATCAAAACCTGTCTTACAATATATAAACGGCTTATAATAAATAGACTCTAACTAAGCATTAAAAAGGTTCGAAAAACAAAATTTGCAACCAATGTTATTTAAAACTAAAACTAAAACCTACAGTTAAAAAAGGCTAGGTAAGCAAAAATACAACTGTTAAAAAAAAGTAAATACAAATCTCCAACCTAGAGCTAGAGAAGGCTAAAAAAACACAAACAAAAATCTAGAACTGTTTAAAAACATAATTGGCCTCGCGATCCGCCTGTTCATTCGCGCTTTTAAATAGGTAAGTTTTAACCTCTATTTTCCATTTGAAAAGTGGTAAAGGAAATTCAACAATGAGAAATTCTCCATCCTGAGCGGGCAGTGCTTTAACGACAAAGTTGCCAAATACTTCGCCGTTCTGGGCAAGTTTCATTTCAGTCGTGCTGTTCATTTCTCACAAAGGAAGTCTCTTTAGCGTTGTCTATGTGAACAAACTTGCGACAAGACCGCACTCACACGATCTTCGGTAGAACATGTTGTGCTCATTCACAACCGGACTCGAAATAGTTGACTTCAAGATCGGAACGAAGGAAAATCGTCTCGGTTTTCCACTGTTCACCTAAACAGTCCCCCCGGCGAGCAGAGTCTCCTTTGATCTTTTTAGAAATATTTTGTAGGAAGATCGAAGGATACTCTGCTCACAGGGTACCTAAAACAACTTCTTGTATTAAAAACAAACGATAAATATCACAATTCGCTGTGTGGTTTCTCCGTGTCCAAATTCGCTGCATCAGCATTTATCATCAAATGATAAAAGTAGTTGATCGTTTTTTCGTAATTCTCAACGCTTATTCTTTCGTTAAAGCCATGAATGCGTTTAGCATCCTCAGGAGTTAGTACTGATGGCATAAACCTGTACACAGAATCGGTAAGCTCCAGATAGTGTTTGGTATCTGTGTTTGCAATCATAAGCCCTGTATAAATAACAACAGTAATAAAAATTTATAAATGCTAACGCTGGAAACACTGCAACATGCAAAGAAACTATTTTAATTGCAAAGTTGACACTCCAACAGAAGGGGATTTTTGCAAACTACATTGGTACAGCTAAGACGCGAGCCGCTATATCTTTTCAGGTTAGTGTATCACTCGCCCTAAACAAATCTAACTGTTTTCAGTTGAAATATTAGCCTGAATGATTTTAAGTGCCGCGTGGTGTAGCTCCAGCCTTGCAAATGCTTTCAACGGTAGCTCCTTCGGCTGCCCCAAGACCTCATCAATACAAACGCGCATGTTTTCAAAAAGTGGCTGTGCGGTCAGTATAAGATTCGAGGAAACTACTTACCTACCCCTCCCTATATAACTCAACGTAAACACTAACTTCTGAATAAGAGCAAAATGTTGGGTTAGGGGAGGGCTCGGTGGGCAGTTTCTCAGAATCCCTCTCCCCTATCCTGCATGGGAGGCAGCGAAGCAGAGCGCTCAGTGCGTCGGACTCGCAATCCGGCGGTTCCCGGCTCGAGTCCCGCTCAGGCGACTTGCTAGATTTGTTCTCGGTCGTCCCCCGAGTTCAAATCCTCGGCCACGCTTGTAAATAGCCAACTGGTTGCCTCCCAGGGTTTTTAATCCTGTTATGTTCTATTTCCAATATTTGTTTCGAGGTATTTGAGTGGTGTGCCTGTAAACTGACTGGATAAGCTAACTGTACTCTCCACTAGAAACAAGCCTTCAACCTATTCAACCTTTAACCCTTACTTCTCGATAAGTGCAAAATCTTGGGTTAGGGGAGGGATAGGTAAGCTATTATGCTTAGTACCTAAGTAGGCAGTGAACCACACAGCAGCGGCAGCGCCCAACCTTGTTCCCAGGGTCCTCTCTTACTTGTACGCCGGACGTAGAAGAGGGGACTCTGGGAACGAGGTTGCGGCAATGTGCAGCTTACCTGGCGACACTCCGACTTCCGTAAACACTTGCCGCACGCTTTTGGATATCACCTAAAGAAATGGAAAAAAAAGAATACTTATTATCCGTTGAAAATTACTGGGCTATGCCTCCAGTAATAAAAAGCAAAGAACGATGACCATATAATTGTAACAGTCTCTTAATTTCTTGTGTAAATTCTCGATAGTAAAATCCTTTAGATTCGAGGACGATTACAAGTACGAGATTTGACTTTAAGTTTTTTTGGCTTATTCTCAAAATATAGACTCCCCGGAAAGCTTCATTTTACCATTTTTCACTAGAAAAGTTAGCAGTGTCATCTTTAGTGAAGGAGGCTAGCCCTGTCCCGATCGCAAAATGATAAACCTTCTAACATTTGATAACTTGTTTCCGCCACTTCGACATTCTCGTGGTAGAGTGACGACGACTAACACGTTTTCCCGCCAAAATGACGCTGATTCAATCGCGATTACTACTTAGAACTGTACCTGGAAGCCAAAAGAATGTTCGTCCCAGTTAGATACAGGAGAAGGTTCGCTCGACTGCATCACACGAATTTCAACTCGATCATCATTTATGCAGCGACGATCATGCTCAAGAACCTATTAAAACAGGAGACAAACTTGGCATCCTGTCATTGCCGTATTGACTAGCGCAACGCGTCTTTAGGAACACTCTGGAAAAACAACCTCGTCCCAAGTCAGGGATATGTTAAAACACCGTCTATTAAAGGGTTGATTTCCACTGTCGCGTAATAACATAGAGGCAATGTATGAAAGGTCGCACGTAAGCGTAAAAGTAGAACCTCGCTCAACTTCACGTTTAATCTCAAGACTTTATATCTTGCTTCTATTTTATTTACGTGATTAAAATTAACGTGCGTTAACGTGCGTCGCCAAAAACACGTCAGTGGAAATCGGCCTTAAGTGTAACGTAGCCTACGTAACAGACGTTCGACGGGAAGGGAAGGGGGATTTCGGGCTCCTCCCTCAAGCGCTGTCTCACGCCCAAATTCCCTATCCCTTCCCCTTTCGAACTAAGGCTAAGCGTAAAGCAGGCGAGTGAGTAATTCAAAAGTGGAGGCAGTCTTCTCAGCATCTGCAGGTAAACAAGGACCTCGGAGCATTCAGGGAAAGGTTGGCCGCCCTTGGCAGAACCGAATACGTCCCAGAAACCCAGGCAAACCCACGAAAGTAAGAAGGGCCTTCTGTCAAGGTGGGATGAGAGGAAAGCCTGGTTTGTTAATTTCTCCGAAATATATGACGCTCGACCACCTTTGTCTCACAGTTCTGTTGTTTAACGCATATTGTCTGCAGTAAAGGATAAAGTGTGGAAATATCATTTAAAGAAAAAAAAAAGCATGTGAAAAAGACCCCCAAATCGCCCAGCCCCCCGGAGACGAAAATTTTAACAATAAGCACACACTAAAAAACTTGACTCCGCGATATGGCCAGTGCCCTACACATGAGCAGGCAGCAGCAACTACGGACAGCTATTAACGGACAGCCATTTCGTCCTTGTTAGGACCCGACAGCATGATAGAGCCCAGTTAAGAGGGTCTCACTTGTGATCAAAGACCCCCCCTCCTCCCCCGAGTATAGAGTGTCGAGTATCAAGAGCAAGCTATATGGTAATTCAGAGTGTTACCTCACCTCCTCCAGAGTATTGCCAGGATGAACCCGGTGATTAACCGTCACGTTCGCTGAGGACGGTATCACATTTGCCTGTGAAAAATAATCGCAAGAAATTGGAAAAAAGAAGGAAAAAGTGGCACATTTTAAGTTACAATCAATGGAAAAACCATTACAATCAAAGAGCCAAGAAGAGGGTAGAGAAGGCATAAGCTGGGATCGAGAAATCGCCACCTAACTTCGAGTCCCTAGTCATGATACCTAAAGATATTTAATTTTTCTATGCGCGTTGAACACTAGTTTACAAGCAGACTCTCGAGTTGGGTTTTGCGCTGGATACGAGTCTAATGTAACCCATGAATCTATTCAGGATCCCGTTGTCTCTTACTCGCTTGCTTGCCGCTCTCCTCATCTACAGGGGGAATGTTTCGCTGCTCGCGTCTCCCAGTCGCCAGGTAACGTTCCCGCACCTTACAAGAGAGTGCTTTGCCGGTAGCGTTTCTCATTTGCTACAAGACAGCCTGCAAGCAGGCTAGCGCTTCAAAGGCTACGGACGTTTCGCCCAAAAGTCGATTTGCCCGACAACGTTTCGCCCGGACTTAAGTCGATTCCCAAAGACGAAACACTCTACAACACGGTGAAAATGCTTATCAGAGTTATTTTAGTTAAGCTTGGATTTCATATGTGCAGTCCCTGTCTTTACGCTTGTTCCTTGTTTCAGGCTTAAAAAACGAAAAATACACGTCAGGCGAATCGACTTAAGTCCGGGCGAACTCAGTACCCTAGGGCGAATCGACCTTCGGGCGAAACGATCTGATACCTCACAGGCGAGTGCGAATCGTGAGGGAAGCGAGCGGTTTTAGGCTTCCTGCCCCTTCCTCCGCTCCACTTTCGGTCTTCTGTCTCCAGTTGCGCTCAACTGTAAAAGATTTTAAAACAATGCTTGTTCTGTGGAATGATCTACGCATGGGTCTACAGCACTGTCACATACCTTTACCCCTGCATTAAACTGAGTAACAGCGGTTGTGGTACGGAGAAACGCATTAGTGGAGGGTTTTGACTCAAGAATTCTGTTAGAGAGAAATAATTGAAATGGGTACATAAAGCGTACCGTACGAACGTGAAGCGACATTTAGTCTTACCTTGGCAACGGAGCAACCGAGGTACCCTATTGTTTCGGTGCTTAGCCTGCGAAGTATTCGTTTCCGTTAATTTTAGCCAAGCGGGGGAAGCGCAAGAGAGAAGCAAGGCCGCTCCTACTGTTTTGCTCGCGCTCAAACGTCTTCCGTGTGTATTGTGCTGGGCTAAGAGGAAATGAAAACGACAGCTACGCAGGCTACTAGTGCTCAGCTCGGGTAAGACGAAAGGTCCTAAATTAATATTTAAGTTTCTTTATTTTTGTTCAAGACGTAAGCGTTAAAGCTACAGCGATGAATCTAAGCAATTAAAAGTTACTTCAAGGCTCCTTAACTCTGGCTGCTATTGGTTGATTTCCAACAATAATTATTACAACAACAAAAACTGGCAGTATTTCAAAAAGGCTTTATAATAAACTACTTACTTTGTAAAAATTGGACTAAATAGCCACAAGTTAGCCACTATAATCCTCATATAAACTGGAACCTGTAGAATAAGCGGATATTAGATTACTAAATTACTGTGAAGGAAATCACTATGTAATCGTAAAATGTCAGACTATAAACCATGGTATACCTTATTCTTCTTGGTGTGTTTAAATCACAAACAACAAATTGAGCTCAACATGATAATCCCTTTGCTTCACTTGCGTAGTGAAAGTCTGAAAAATTTCTAGCTCTTGCATGGAGACACTTTACTGTTACCTGAGGGGCAAAACTTTCAAACATTTCTCTGATTGGTCCAGATGACTCAAAGACAACTGGCATTGGACAAGATTCTAATCTGAACATAAACATAAACAAAAAAAACATGAAATTTACGAAAGAGTTAAAACGAAAACGTGATTGACTGAAAAAAAAATGGTCTCATTGACTGTCTGAGTAACTGTCTGATTGACAGAGTTACTTGCTGACTAACTGACTTCCGAACTGACTGACTGACTGGCTGGCTGAGTGACTGATTACTGATTGACTGGAGGATGCACTGAATGAATGACTAACTGACTGACTGACTGGCTGCCTGATTGAATGAATAGATGGCTGACTAACTGACTGAATGACTGACAGATCAACCAACTGACTGACTGGCTGGATGACTGAATGACCTGACTGAGTGACTGACTGGCTGGAGGACTGATTGACTGGCTGACCAACTGACTGACTGACTTACTGACCGGCTGACTGACTGAATGAATGGTTGGCTGACTAACTGATTGACTGGCTGGCTGACTGGCTGACTGACTGACTGAATGAATGGCTGGCTAACTAACTGACTGACTAGCTGACTGAACAACTGGCTGAGTGGATGGCTAGCTCAGTTGGTAGATGAAAAAATGGCCATACATCTGGTACAGATGAAATGACTGGTTAGCTTAACAAATGATAGAACAACACAGTCAACAGAAAAGCCACGCTCAAATGCTAGTACTCACTTAGCTACAGCATTTGACATAATTCCAATGCTTGATTCCCGTGGTGGCATTGATGAGTGGCCAGCAGATGTATGGACACTAAGTTGTGCTGTGATAAAACCTTTCTCTGCCACACCAATTCTAAGAATCAAAGATATCAAAAATAAGGTCTGTTATATGCAAGAAGCCACTGCCATAACCCATGCATCATGATGATTTCAGGTAAAAAAAATAACTTTGATTCACAATGACCCCACTGAGATTTATATGAGAGCAAAAAGACGTAGCTATAAATTTCTTAAAGAGGCAACTTGTGCATTTTACTTTGCATACTCACAAAGCAAAGGGAATTTTCATTCCCGGGACAGCATCCTTGACAATAACTGTCCCTTCATCAACTAAAAATTCCAACTCCACCTGTTGTGACTTTAAATGTGCTGCAATTTGTCGGGCTCCGTCATTCCCAGAAACCTATAGGCAAAAGATTACTGCATTTATCAAGAAGAACGGTACCCTTGAAAAAGTGTTGTGGTTCAATTCTATCCTTGGTTTGTTTTTCCATAATTTACGGTGATCAATGTATGACAACAAGTCTGTAACAAAGGAAAATAAAATTTAAGCCAAGGATACTTTTAAACTGCTGTGCTACCATGGAACAACCACCAAATCCCATTTTAGAATCTTTTTTCCACTTACCTCTTCGTCATGTCCATAAGCCAGGAAAAAGCTGCGTTGAGGTTTGTGTCCAAGATTGAGAAGAAACTTTAAAGCCTCCATGGAGCCCTAAACAACATTGCATACAACGTGGGAAACCCAGATTAAATCATTCTTGGTTTTTTTAAAAAATTCTGCTGTTACACATGCATTTTATGGAATGGAATTTGGAAGAAGAAGCAAGCAGTTAACAGCATAGGCCTGACTTTCAGGCACCCCTTTACTGTTATTGAATCCGCCACATGATATTTTTGCAAAAGGCCAAATTACGTCAACACAAGTCCCCAAACTTAAGAAGCCTACAGTCCTCTTGAGTTGGGATATTCAATTTTTTCTAGATCCTTTTATGATCATGTCAAAACTGCAGCTCTCCCTTTAGACATCTGTGTTGCGAAAACCGATAAAAAATGCTCTACAGGCCAAGAGAAGTAGTTTGAGTGATCAGGCTCAACTTCATTCATTGTTACTCATTATGGTTAAAATTAGTGGGAATTAGGTTTATTGCAGAGCAAGATTAATTACCATGACTCCATTTTTAACATCCAATGTTCCTCTCCCCCAAAAGTACCCATTATGGACACGCCCTTCAAAAGGGGGTACTTCCCAAGATTCATTGCTTGCTGGTACAACATCAAGGTGACTTGCAATGAGATAAGGTTTAAGAGAGGGGTCACTGCCTTTTACAGACAAAAGTAAGCTGTAATCTGCTATAACTTTATGTTGCACAAGAGGATGATTAAACACATCTGAAAATTCTGTTGGAAGAAAAAATTAAAGACACAAGTTGCAATATTTTGTAAATATTTATGAGGCCATCCATAAATTTATATCTTTTGAAAGTCATCTAAACCTGAGCGTACAAATCACTTGCAGCTTGTTAATAATCATTAAGCAAGTCCACTCAACTAGAAACTGGAAAGTAACTGGTTTGGGATTTTTTATTTTTTATCCACACTCCACACCCCCCTCCCCCCTCCCCTAAGGATGACTGGAATCTGAACCCTCAAATTTCTGTCTGTGCGCATTGAAAAATGAAATCCGAAGGGTTCGTTCTTTGTCGGCACCTCGGAAAAAGTTGTGAAAATAAAAAATTATGGGTCAAAATTTTTTTCAGGTTCTTTTATGAAAAACTCGACCGAACTTTCCTATTGGAAACCCGTCATCCTTAGCGGGGGTGGGAGGGCAGATTAAAAATATCATGAAAAATGGCACGTCCCTTGAGAAACTTGACCTTAACTTATAGCTGTCCAAATAAAACTCGACACTCAACCCATTTAGTGTAGAAAAACACTGCCGAGGATAAAGTTTATTTTCTTACCTTGTAGGATAAATTCAAGAAATTTTCGAAGCTCTTGTCGATTGTAATTCCCAACATCATATGACACTGTTTTAAAGGTGATTGCTTTTTGAAATCTTTTCCTCGCGGCTTCGTCTGCGTGAATATAATCTAAATCGGTTGGTAGACAAGGAACAGCGGCTACCGGACGATAGGAAAACATCACCGTCCGTACGACGATAATCAAAACGACTGTGAAAAGAGCTGAGAGGAGAAAGTACGAAAATCTACCCGCCATGTTTTTTCTTACAGTTTTCTTCTTTGTACCAGTCTCCCTACATGTGACAGCTAGGTCACGCAACTAATACTTCTTGTTTTTGAGCCGCGTCACGCTATCGGACTGAAAAAATCTGCCACCTGTTGTTAGAAATATTTGTATCTCGGATTCTTGTAACATTTTACAATTTGAAGAACAACTGTTTAGCATATTCTTTATCTCGCTTCCTATGGTTTGTACCTCTCCTTTGAAAATCTCTTGATTCGCTCGCTCCCCCCTGTACAGTCGATAATCCCAGGCGACTGGCATTGTATATTTCTTTTTTAACAGCGGGTTCCATCTGTCGTTGGTTATCGACAGCACCTGAAATTTTGTAGTTCTTCTCCAACCATTTTCGAAGCAAAGATTGCTAGCCATAGTCCTAAGATCACATCGCTGATTGCCCCTTGGATCAGTGCAAGAAAATTGCATTAATCCAACAAAAACAAAACCCAACAACTCTTGAAAACACTCTAGCTTCACGCACATAATTCTGCTTTTGAAAAAAACTGTGTCTTAGTTTATTCACATTTGGCTAGAAACAATGTTTCTGTCCGCAATAGTGATTCCTTGGTTGTTAAGCTAAACTCTAACAAAAAAATCTGGGCATTTGTTTGAAAGTAAAATATTGTTCGAGTAAGCCCCTTAACTGCTGTAGTTAAAACGTGAAAGTTAAAATCCTTTTTTTTTTCGCCGATCAACGGCATCATCAGGGATAAAAAATACTCCGTGTGGGGCTATATATTCATATATAAATTGACGTATAGTAAAATGTGTGAAAACTGTAATAATGGGGTAAACTGAGGTCAGGCTCTATTTTCGTTTCGCTTTTAAAAAACATTCCGGCGGGCAAGGCAAAACGAAAATAGCGGTAGCCGTTGGAGAGAATGTATGAGAACGCTAAAATTGGGCCTGATCTCAGGTAAGAATGGGGCGAAGTACGTGTAAGAGGGATAACAATACAAATCTGAATAAAGTACAACGATCTAATGGACGAGTGTCACAGAACAAAGAGCCCGGGGAGGGGGGGGGGGGGGGGCCC